ATTCCTCCTAGGATTCATACTCCTAAGGATAATGCTTATCCTTTTACACCCTCCCCCACTGCTTAAACCAAGTGGGATGGTTTCCTCCATGGCCGAACTACCATTTAACCGAAATAAAAACTGGCTATGTAGAGCTACAGAGAAGGCCGAACTATCCTTAGCTCGGACTTCTCCACCAACTCCTTATCTCGGCTTTCCCCTGTTCAACCATGGTGGGTTTAGATCAAACTTCCAAGTAGCAAGTTCTGACCGACCTAACCATAATATGCCACGACCGGACTAAATGCAAGGCCGGACTCACTTCAAACTGCCACCGGACCGGAGTTGCTTTACACATTCTTGAACCGGAGTAACCACACCTCTCCTGGGCCGGAATAACTTCACTTCTCCTGGGCCGGAGCATCTATACCTCTACTGAGCCGAAATAACACTACGGCTTCTTACCGATTCCTTCACACTTTGGGCCGCATGGCCCAACTCACAGCTCGGCCCAATTCTTTCCCAAAAATTACCCTCTATATCTAAAACGTAAAAAATTTGTAAAAAAACCTTTTAAAAATTCACTAAACACCAAAAATACAAAAACAAAAAACAAAAATTTAGTATATTTTTTGTATTTTTATTTATTTATTAATTTTTTAAAATATTTTTCACAATTTTTTTACTTTTTAGATACATCTAAGTAAGGTGCATCTAAAAAAATTTTAAAAATGTTTAAAATTTTAAAAATATTCACTAAAAACAAAAAAAATACGAAAATCAAAAAATTCAATTTTCAAAAAACTTAATCTAAAAAACTCAAACCAAACACACAAATTTCTTTAAAAATTTTAATTTTTTAGAATAATTTAAATAAGTATATTTTTTAACTTTTTATAAAAAAATATGTAAAAAAATAAAGAAGTGATGTAACTCAAATAAGTACACACATATCCATCATACCAAACAACCACTCGTAGATGAAAAAAATGATAATACCATCACTTTACTTGGTTCTATTTTTTAAAAAACACTTTTCAAAAAAATTTATTTTCTTATTTTTCGTGCTTTTTTTGTTTTTACTGAATTTTTTAATAATTTAAGCAATTTTTTTTTTACTTTTTAGACATACCTAACATAAATATATTTAAAAAGTAAAAAAATTGTAAATTTTTTTTTAAAAAATTCACTAAATACCAAAAAAATAAAAAAACGAAAATTCAATACATTTTTTATATTTTTATGTATTTATTAATTTTTTAAAATATTTTTTCACAAATTTTTTACTTTTTAGATACATCTAAGTAAGATATATCTAAAAAAGTAAAAAAATATTCACTAAAAACAAAAAATATACAAAAATTAAAAATTTTAATTCAAAAAACTCAAACCAAACACACAAAATTAACTTCGCTTATTATGTGCTTACAGATAATTAGTTTCAATCGCTCTAATATCACTAAAATAAAAATCAATATAATTATGTTTAGCTTGTTAAATTTATTCATAAGTTTTAAAAGTGATCGGTGTAATTTATCCCCTTTTTCCGTACATCCACCACACGTTCTAATTTTGCACCTTAAGCAAAAATATTTGAGCATATAAATATAGGTTTAACCGGGGCAATCTGAATCCAAAACTAATGTCCAAGCAGTTGCAATAGTGGCGGTAGTGTGAAGGCGGCGGCAAAGTGATGACACTTGTGGGGGCACACAATGGGGTGGCTGTGGTGGAAGTTGCAGCACCAACAATTGTTGTAATAGGATAACGGTGGTGGTGGAACAACATTAGTAAAAAATTTAATCCAAAAAATATTTTCTATTCAAAAAATTTATTTTTTTATTGATCATAAAAAAATGTTTAAAAATTTTCACTTTATTATTTTTCATGTTTTTTTATTTTTACTGAATTTTTTTTAATATTTTAAATAATTTTTTTACTTTTTAAGCATAGGAGGTTGTTTGGGGTTTCAACCCAAGGGCCGCCCGGAGTTTGTTTGCTTCAGCAATCTCAGAAGCCAGGTGCTCCAACCCATCATCCTTCTGTTCTTCTTTGGTTCATCTCGAGCGTTCCCGTCCTCTGGGCCATCCCCACGCCTTCTAGGGCTGGCACTGCTGCGGGCATGCCTCTTATGATGCTCTCCATCACAATCACAATCCTAGCGGTCCCTACTCCTACTTCGGTTCCTTGAATGGTTCGGTTCCTTGAATGGTTCCTCCGCCTGCCATGCTCCCATCTCACCTATTTCCCTACCTTCCCCTCTCCCTTTCTCGCTCCCTCTCACAACCATAATCCTTGTCATCTCTCAGGCGATGGCGGTCCCTGTCTCTGTCCCTATCTATATCCATGTCTCTATCCCTCTCTCTGTCACGCCCTCATCTGCTTTCTCTGTCGCAATTGCGATCCCTGAGAAAATGAAGGGACAACCAAAATGTAAGAGTAAGGTTAAAAATCACATGCATATATCAGTTATCACAAGGAACTAAATTGTGATCTTGATATACTATTAATGAGGATCAGAATAATCAGCATAAATTTATCATCAGAGAATAAACCAAGATATAATTGTGAGATTAGGGACAGTCGTGCACCATCAGCAAAGAGAACTCTGGTGTGGAAGGAAGCTGGTTTGGAGTTTTTATATTCAATTATAACGTGCAAGGGAACCCGAAGGCCATGTTTGTTTGGGAGCACATGGCTCTCGGATTGGAATAATAATCCAACAAAATACATAATGTCACGTTTGGCTAAGAAAATGGGATATGGCATCCCATAAATTAAAATTAAAAAAAAAAATTTTTTTTACAGGAAACTCATACTAGCTACTGCGTAGAAAACTCCCACCAGACTCATATTAGCTACCAGACTCGTACAAGCTACGACATAGAAAACTCATTTAGTTCCCATGATGGTCATGAAATATATTTATTATGCATTCACATTGAGCCCAAATACGATGATAAAAGTACTAGAGATTAATAATAATGACAGAAAGGGGGGAAGTTTCACTAAGGGGAAGGAAATGGACAAAATGAAAATGAAAATGAAAAAAATAAAGAATTGAAATAAATCAAAAGAGAGAATGAAAATAAAATCACTATCCAATTTTCTCAGGCTTCTTAAATCGCAACACATCCTTGCACATGTAATATTTAAAAAATAGTGGGTTCGGCTAAAAATCGATTCACCAAAAAATTATTAGAAGTCGAAAGGATCACATGCACAGCATGAATAAATCCACAAATATGAAACAGTTGAGCTAAATTAGAATTGTTTGATCCATCATACTTCTCTCTGCACACTGTCAGTACAGAAAAACCTGGCAGGACCATAGACATTGATATAGGAAGCTGTTTCAAGCCACTGATGGCTTTAAAAGCCATGGCAGTAGCATAACCCTTGAAAAATGTGGATGTGTGTGCCCATGTAAGAATGTGCGTGTGTGCGTATGGATTCTAGACAACAGCTTCCGCAAATCTATCATGCTTACACTAAGAAGATTCATAACCCCTTACCAGTGATTACATAAAACAGTTAACACAAAGAACAAAAACTTAAACCTTAAACTTGCCAGTAACAAGGGATAAACAACTAGCTTCATAACACACATCAAAAACAGATGCCACCATCTTGTTCCCACACAGATTCTTAAACAGACATACTCTTCAAATGAAGTTAGCATTCAAAACTACTATTGTACGCAAGTATTCACATACGATATATGTGCATATGTATGAGTGCTGTTAACCAACATTTTCCCATTGTGATATCTCACAGATTGCTCCTACCATGATAAAGTCTGATGACAAGATAAAGCTAATCGGCTTATAAGTGCAAAAGAAACTTTTCTTACAAAATATTCTGCCAGGGACCAAGAACATCAGAAACTGCAATTAAAAGAATTCATATCAGAATTACCCGTACCTGTACCTGTACCTGTGACTGTCGCGTTTTCTATCCCTATCTCTTTCCGTTGTGGAACTTCGTCCACAGTAATAAAATCCTATTTTAATAAAATCAAGAAAAATATCATCTCATCAGAAAAGAAAACACCCCAGAATCAAACAAAAACAAAATGGAATCTAGATAAAATTCATAACAGAGAGAGAGAGGACCCTTTCATGAGCACCAGCATCTAAGTCAGCATTGAGTTCATCTTCCTCATCTTTTTCTTCCTCCTCTTCAAAATCATCTTCCAAAGCACTTTTTCTCAGATCCAGTGAACCAATGGATTCAAGAGTCCATCTACCAGCATGGAATATGTAAGTACAGAAAACTACTCAAAAGAATCTCTAAAAAAATTAGGAAGAACATAGTTGTCAAAGAAAACACCGACCGAAATGTCAACCTAATAAACTATAACATGATATTTCCACTAAATGGTTGGAATAACCTTACAACCAATGTGACCATTTTAAACAATCCAGATTCGTTACAAAATTCTAGGTCAGGAATAGCCTTACGAAGTTACGACCCAAAGAATGGAGCAAAAGTTCTAGAATTGTTACAATCCAGGTCCCAGCCCTACCTATATCTAAAAATACAACATATTTCCTCATTTCTACATGAAGCTTCGCCCAGTGACAATTTTTCATTTGACATAAAAGATATATATGGTCCTTGTAAACAGAGCCACACCAATCTCAATTTCTGACCTTGGTAAGAAATAAGTACTGGTATGATCTGGTTTGTAAATCCATAATTGAATTTGTGAATTTGCTTTGTAACTAAAATTCAATTGCTGGTTTCAAATGGGTATCCAAGTCCAATTGCAGTGTTGCAACCCAAAAAAAGGATTGGAATGTGGATTCAAATCTGAGACCCAATCCTTCCCACCAGATCCCTGGACCAAATGCATCATTCAAATAAATCATAGGAATTACAACAAAATGACAAAATTACTGCTCATAAAAAGGATATGTTTTGCTCTGACTGTTAAGAATACTGGAAGTTTCGATGAGTATTGTGCAAATATGCGTCTTCGAACCCACTAGCTTTCTTCATTTTTGAAATGGTCTTCTCCATGCCCCTGTTATTGTCCAACTTAGCTTTTATTTTTTTTATTTTTTTTATAAATATTTGATTTAATAAAATGCACAAATCACAAAGCCCAAAAAATCAGAAACATCAATTACCAAAAAATTTAAAAGTTAGACAATTTTTATAAACAACTATTGCCATTTACTTCTATTTTATATCTAAATTAGCAATATCATTTAATTAGTCTTTCAAATTTTTAATTTCTATTGATATGGTGCAATTGAAGATAAACCAAACCAAACCAAACCAAGCCCAAAGTCCCATCAAATGGGGTCGGCTACATGAAACCTCCTTCTCCACGCAGCTCTATCAAAGGCCATTTCGTTAGTCAAATTAAGTAGATCCATATATCTATTTACAACGCTAGTCAACGTTAATCTAAACCTACCCGGTTCCCTAACATTTCCATCTACCGTCACTGCATCGCATCTCTTCACTACTGTCTCTATTGGTCTCCGTTGAACCTGACCAAACCATCTCAATCGATTTTCTCTCAACTTATTTTTTATTGGTGCTATTCCTACCCATTCCCGAATACACTTATTCTTAATTCTGTCTTGTCTAGTATTGCCATACACCACTTTAGCATTCTCATCTCAGCAACACTCATGCTATCGACATGTTATTTCTTGGTTGCCCAACACTCCGTCCCATACAACATCGCTGGTTTAATAGCCATTCTATAGAACTTACCTTTTAATCTAGTGGATATTCTTTTATCGCACAGTACCACAGACACATTTCTCCACTTAAGCCATCCCGCCTTAATCCTATGTGCCACATCCGCATCAATCTCCCCGGCCGTTGTAATAATCGACCCTAAATAATGAAAATGTTCACTCTCAGGCAGTTCTTGATTCTCAATCTTCACTTCTCTTCTACTTTCATTGTTATTGTTACTAAATTTACATTCTATGTACTTTGTCTTAGTTCCGCTTATTCGGAATCCTTTAAATTCAAGTACTTTTCTCCAAACCTTCAACTTTATGTTAACTCCTTCTCTAATCTCATCCACTAACACGATATCATCTGCAAAAAGTATACACTATGGCACATCATCCTTAATATTTCTCGTCAACTCATCCATAACTAACGCAAAAAGATAAAGATTTAAAGTAAATCCTTAGTGTAACCCTACAGTGATAAGAAATTCATTGTCTCTCCAGCAGGCGATCTAATAGTGGTCACCACCACTTCATATATGTCCCTAATCACATCAATGTAACCTTTTGCCATCCCCTTCTTCTCTAACCGATTTGAAAAATTTATAACTTAAAAATTGGCATGTACCTACAATCCAACAATTATCAAATAAATCATTCAAATTTTGAAATGATCTTATTAATTATCAAATAACTTAAACCATTTGTTGAAATTAAAAACTTCATAGACAAGAATAATGAAATTAATAAGGACGAAAGGAAAAAATGAAAATAGTTTAAAAAATAAAAGTAAAATGAGGCCAAATAAAACAATTAAAAAAAAATCTAAAAAGAGAGGAGAGAGAATCGGTTATATACGAGCAGACTAGTGCACAAGCCACATAGTGGAAGAAGTGGCACATGCAAGCATATGAAGCTCGCGGTATCTATATCGGCAACAAAAAGGGCTGAATGCGCTATCCCAAAATATTACCCTTGGCAGAGCGCTTCAGTGACGCATATTGATTGCCTTCCCTTTACAAACAAACAACATATATACATATACTTAAATATGTAAGTAATAACGCAAGATTCAACAAGAAACAGATAAAGATGAAGAAATAGGTGATTAGTTCCAGGCTTTTTATTTTGATGCGTTTTTGTTTCCAACACCTCATTTCCATGTTGATGCTTGAGACCAGCCTGCTTCTACAACTCATAGCAACCGCACATAACAAACAAATAAGCATGCATTGTTTCAAATTCTGGCACACGTACAAACACAGAAACACCATATCCTCTCAAATATATAAATAAATAATCACAAGTTAGTTCAAATTCCATTATAAACATTTCAAAACCCTGCTAGCATTCACACAAATCCCATAAAGGGTTAATTTCACTTTTATCCCCTAAACTAATACCATTATTTCTATTTCATCCTTAAACTATTAATTTCATCTTTTTATTCCATAAAGTTTCTGCAATTGGAAACTATTATCCAAATCAATAACCGTTAATAGTTTGATGGACGAAAAAGTAATTTCAAAATTTGAACAATTTAAACCATACAACCATACCCTCAATTTTTTTATTCACTATTTTGAAATGAAGTGTCGAGAAGAAAATGGTGTTTGACTGTACAATTTAGGTTATCTAAATTGTAAATTAACCTTTTGCCCATAAGCTTAGGTTCCACCAATATTGATTGGGATGGACATCTCCAATTAGCCCATATGAATTGAAATAATAAACTCTGAATAATTCCTAATTTAAGGTATGAAATTAAAAAATTTAAAAAAAATTAACAATAATTTAGGAATAAAAGTGAAATTAACCCTTCAATAAAATAGGGTATCAACATTGTAAGCATCTCCACTCCTTCACCCTTTTTTTCATCAAATTTATTCAAGAATTTAAATCACCAAAAGCTTGATTTGATAAAGCTCACCAAATCAAATTTTTCATCAAATCTTTTTAAAAATACCTAAACTATCCCAACAAACTCTTAAAAGGAAAAAAGAAAAAACCCAACTCCAATCTTTCATCATTTAACAATTTCATCAAAGTGGGAAAAAAATATTGGAAATTTGGTGAAAGATTTTATTCATACCTGAATTTGGGGGAAAACTTGATTTGATACAAGTTTAATGAAAGGATAAGATCTCATTTTCACCAAACTTTTCTTCAAATCTAAATTTAATTAAAGATTGGAGATGAGACACTAGTGACTTGTAATCTTGGTTCTTTATGAACTCGACGAAGATGTCTTTGTGGGGATGGGTTTCGAGCTCCATGCCCTTGTCCACCAGCTTCTGATAGTTTGTTTCCCTTATGCTCTTCGCCGCTGGGTCCGTGCGATTCGCCATTGCTCGCTACAAAACCCTTCCCTTTCGAGCGAGCCAGAGACACAGACAGGGCCTAAACCCTAAGAAGGTGTTTGTTTGGAAGGGAATTGGACTCGGAATACATTATTTGGTTGACAATTTGTTGGTTAGTAATCTAACCAGATTCTATATCCTTGGATTGTTACGTCGAAGAGCAGATGGAATGGAAAATTCTATTTTTACGCATCGATTTATTTTAATATATATATAATAAAATATTATTTTAATAATAAATATATTTTAAAATAAAATTATTATAATGAATATTAAAATGTACATATAATATTATATTAAAATTTTTTCTATACACATCTTTCTGTAGTGCATTGGTAGGTGGTCGGTGACTTTATGGAAGGCGATGCTACCGAAGACTTCACTAGTAATGGTCCTGGAGCTTGAGTGAATACAAATCCGGCCACCATAGCGAACATCAGCACCAACACTATGACCCATGAGTAAGCCATTTGTGTCAATTCATTCTCTCTTCTCGAAAGATAGGAAGGAATAGAAATATAATTGACGAAGGTTCGACTATAAGAGAGATAAGAGTTTTCAGAGAATTTTTAAGAGGGAGAAACATAGACTGGATTTGATATGAAGCCATGGAGAAACGCAATATATATATAGTTCAGGTCCGTTTTATATCCTACTGAGGAAGATGTATTGACTAAAATCCTTTCGTCAACGGTTTCAAAAGATCACGAGAACAGTTTCCAGATTGAGAGCGGAAGCATAAGTCAATGATGAGGCAGATTTGATTCCATGGAGAGAGAATTTAGCTTCTAAAGTCACTGGGCAAAGCTAGTTGAGAGACTATATGGATTGACTTGTATCAATTTTATCTTGCACGGTGTCATTTCGTAACTTTGGCAAGTTTTTCGCTGATAGTAGTTGCTAAAGCAACACGATAGTCGCCATCGACGAGGACTTTGAGGCTAATCTCTGATTTTAAATCATGTTCATAGTTGTGTTGAAGTGGATGAAGAGGTAAAGGTGTGTAGAAGGAGAGTGTAGGTGGTGTGTGTACATGATATGAGTTAGGGTGTAATTGAAATATTAAGTATGTGGAATGATAAGAATAATCAAAAACTAAATTAATAAGTGTGTATACTGAAAAATTATATGCACTTAGGTAAGTAAGTATGTGGAAATAAAATTTCCCGATGGAATAACAATCTCATGAGATTAACTTGCAAAAAGACACTTTTACCCTCCAAATACATGTATCTTAATTATTTTTATAAAAAAAAAATTGGAATAAAAATTTAATTTTTTTCAAATGATGGGATATAGATTCAAAAAAATAAATAAAAATTCAAGCTTCGTTTGGCATTGACTACGGTAGCCAACTTTTTTGTGTTGAGACTTTTTTAGTCTCATTTGGTTTTTTTTTTTTGGGGGGGCTTTTTTGACTTTATGAGAGAAAAAATGTAATGATTATGATTTTGATATAACATTTTATCTTATTTGCTTATATAGCCTATTTTGTCTTTTTGTACTATTTTAGTCTCAAAATGTTTACCAAACGAGGACTCACTATCACAAAAACAAATGTTTAGTTTCTTATGTATTGTACTTAGTAAAATAAAATAAAATTTAAAAGTCTCAATTAAAAAGTAAAATAAATTTATTTAATTTTTATTGATATTTTATTTATTTAATATTTTGGAACTTTTAGGGAAAAAAATAAAATAATATATTAAAGATAGATTTATTATTGCTATTACTTTTAGCAAACAATTGAAAAATATAAAATAGACTTTTGAGCATTTATTATTCTTCATAATATTCTAACCAAATATTGGATTTATTAGAACAATCTTTTATAGATATCTAATATCATGAGAAAACAAATATAAGACACACATCTTTTCTACCAAATAGTCTAGAACTATGTATTGGATTACAATCCCTTTTATCCAGTTAGTCTAAACAAACATAACAATTTGTTTGGATTGAGGGATTGGGAGAGAAAACCAGAGAAAGGAATTTCTAACAAAAAAATAAAGATAAGGTGTGTTTGGTTTGTGTTTTGAAATAAATTTTCATAGTAAAAAATTTTGGGGAGAGAGTTTAGAAATTTTTTTAATTTGTTTGGTTGTATATTTTAAAAATAGCTTTGGAGTTTTGAAGTTTGGGATGATTTGATATTTTGTTGTAGTTGAGTAAATAAGTGTGAGAAAAAAATTGATTGAGAATGAGAGAGGAGAGAGAAAAGTGATTGATTGATGTATAAGAGAAAAAAAAATAATTTTGAAATTTTTTTTCAAAAAATTTGAACCAAACAAAATTTTAAAAAAAATTATCAAAAATTGTATCTTGAAATACAAATCAAACTAGCCCAAACTTTTTAAATCTCTTAAAACTAAAATTAGGGTGATTGGCGGTGAAATAAATGAGATGATTATTAATTTATTTTATATTATTTATTTATTTATTAAATAAATAAATAAAATATAAAAATATTTTAATAATATAATTTGTAAGAAAATAATTATTAAGATTTTCTCAAGTTTAAATTTAAATTTGATCCTTATGTTATGATACTCATCACACTTTCCATTTCCATAATATGAATTATTCATCTTATTGGATATATAACATTTATAAGTCAATCCAATTATTATAACTTTCTATTTTATTTTATTTGTTTTCAAAAAATAGATGGATTATTTTCAAAAATACACTTGTAATCTTTTTTTTTTTAGACAAATGTAATAAAATAAAAAGACTACAATTATAAAATAAACTAATTTTTTCATAAATGGTATATGTTGAGAGCTATACAAAGCCAAACTCGTGATAGAACTCCACAAGTGTGAACATGATGGTCACCCCCATATTTAAACTTGAGAGAAGTCTAATATCAATTTTTTCATGTATTCTATCCAAACATAATTAGATTTTGTTCTTTTTCTCCAGTTTAACCATACATAGAGAGAAGAGCAACAAAAACAAAAAACAATATCCATTCTTTTTCTATTAACCCTTTGAAAATTGGATTGAAATTCTCCACAATAATTTTAGTTTGCAATAATATTGCAATGCTAGTTTAGAAGTCCAAAACACAATTATTGCATGATTACAGATTTTCACTCACACAATTGCAATGCTAGTTTAGAAGTCCAAAACACAATTATTGCATGATTAAATGATTTAGCCTTGTTTGGGAAGTAGTAAAAAAAAAAAACTAAAAAGTCATTACAAATTATCTTTTTTTTTTTGGGTGAATAAGTACAAATTATCATGCTACCTCTTTTTATATTTTTACATAAATGAGTCCTGAAACATTCTTAAATCATCTAATGATTATGTTTGAACACTTGAAGTAGCATCTCAATGGGCTCAAAATTAAGATTTCATTTGTTTGACGAATTAGATTAAATGAGATGAGTAAAAAGATTATTAATATGACGGTATTAAGTTGGAGATATAAGATGGTAGTATTAGTTAATTAGGATTAAATATACAAATTATGTAAAAGCCCTTGTCACATAAAAGATATTTTTGTTAATTTTGTAAAATGAGGAGCAAAATGATTTTTTTGCCCTCAATAATCCCACCATGAGAGAGGATTGATAGTCATGTGAGATTAGCAATCTCATACCACTTCTCTACGAATAAACATGCTATAGATGAGCCCTATGAATTAGTAATCCAATCTCTTCTCCCAAACCTCCAATCAAGCATGACCTAAGTGTTGCTCAAAAAGTAACCTAAGATGGGGGATGAATTAGGTTTCTACAAATTAAAATTAATAATATCCTAATAAAATTAACTACTAGTACAACAAATTATTAACAAGCACAATGATGAACTTAGCAGTAAATGATCAAGCAAAATAATAATGAAGTATAACTAACATACATGGTAAATCAAATAATTAACACATGAATATTAGACAGCTATAGCAGTGTTGGCTTTTTGGCTTTTCGAAGGGTATTTTTGTGAATGTGAGCGTGCCAGCAAGGATCAATCAGTCCTTACAGAAATTGTGATTGCCAACCAATTATCAGACGATTGTGTTGTAGTTCTTTTCAGCCTCAATGAAGAGGACTTTTACTGGTGGCTTGACTTAGGAGAAGTTAATAGAAAATAACAATAATATGAAGAACAATTGAAGTATTTCATAAAAATGAACACTTACAATGGTCCGAACTCAGCCTCAGAGAGGTTTACAACAGCAATCTACTTGAATCTACTTGAAGCTACTCCTATGAATCGAAGTGCAGCTCTGGTATTTAAAGTGCAGGTATTTAAAGAACAGGTATTTAAAGACTGGAAATGTAACAGACTGGAAAAGAAAATATATGAAGTAAATGACTGATTTGTATGATCTGAGTCCTCTCTCCTTTCTGGGGGCTGCCCTGCTATTTATACTCGTCAGTGATGACCTTCGAACTGCACTTCGAACCGTCGAACTGCTCCTCCATGATCGCTGATCATGCTTCCTTACAAGTAGCTCCATTACGCCATTACTGGCAGTTGAACTTCCCTCTTGTACTTGAATTTGAATATGAGTAACCGTTGAAAATATGTCATCTTGCATCCCGTTATTGATCTAGTGTTACTCAGATCATGTGAGGACCAATATTTATTGCCACGTGTACGATCAGGATTAAAGGCTTGAATAACCTTCCTTTATTACCCTTACTCTGCCACGTGTCGAACTGTAACTGGCTTTTACAAAATATGTAGCCAACAAGCAGTAATAGGAAAGTAAAGAGATTAGGGAAGAGGAGACAAACAGATTTATAGTGGGTCGGCTTCAACCAAGCCTACATCCACTCCTCAAGTTTCATTTGATATTTTTCATTATCTTCTAGTTTCACAAGGGTGCTAGCAACCTCTTTACAAATGAAGCAATCCTTCACGGATTTTACATAGACTTCACAAGCCCAAACCCTTGCAAATCTTAGGTGATTCACAATCACTCTCAAGATTTCAAGAACACAGTATTTGCAACACTTTTACAAGATGAAATAGTATTTTTGCTTTCAAAGAAAGCTTACAATAAATATCTCTCAAAGATAGATATATAAAATGAAGCTTTGATTTTTCTGTAAATCTCACATAGGAAAGATGGGCTTAAAGCTATAAGGCTCAGTGTATAATTTCTGAGAAAAGATGTGAATGATTATAGATCAAAGAATATTTTCAGGTTTTTT